CGTCACAGAATGGCCACAAATGGAGTCATTTACCATGAAGCTGTCACATTTTGAAGGTCAGGTCACATCATATATCAAAACTTTAGCATTACTGTTGGCCTCAGTGCTAACATTCTGACTTTGATGCGATCCTGATATTTTGACAAGCCAATGAACGAGAGGAAATTACTCAACCATTGCGTGGTCATAAACTTTCATGTGCAACCAGAACTTCATTCAGGTCCACCCTTTACACATTTATATCTCCACCTAGATGTGTCACACTGTTGCTTATTAAAGGATAAGTTCTTGCAGCAGTGCTTTAATAGACGGTTTAATCACCTACTTTCACTCTTTCTACAGGAATTTAGTTGATCATTTATGACTACGGGCTGCAAGGTGGCACAGTTGGTAGCACTGTTGTCTCGCAGCAGGAAGGTCGCCGGTTCGCGTCCCGGTGGGGGCACCGGAATCTTTCTGCGTGGAGTTTGCATGTTCTCCCCGTGCAGCGTGGGTTCTCTCCGGGTTCTCCAAAAACATGTTGAGGTTAATTGGTGATTCTAAATTGTCCGTAGGTGTGAATGTGAGTGTGCTTGGTTGTCTGTCTCTAAGTGTAGCCCTGTGATAGACTGGTGACCTGTCCAGGGTGTCCCCGGCCTTCACCCTGAGTCAGCTGGGATAGACTCCAGCCCCCCAAGACCCTAGTGAGGATTAAGCGGTGTATAGATAATGGATGGATGGATTTATGACTACCGTTGCTGATCTGCACATTTGTGTTTCTGTGCTTTGACTGTATGACTTTAAAACCACCTTGACATTAAAAACTGAAAACATGAAATACTATTCTGTATGAATTGAACTGATAATAACTTGACTTCATCATGCCGGTGCGAATTGTATTCTCTAAATTTATTGACTAAACTTAGGAATCTTTAAGACTACCATGCCTCAGTCACTATTTTCCTACTGATGTACTTATGAACTATCCTGTGTTGTGTTGCACATCCGCGTTGGCATATAGAGATGTTTGCCACTAGTAAGTTCGCTAAAAAGATACCAGTTGTCTTTGCTCTTCGCTAATTACCTCCTCAAGCTCCAAAAGGTGACAAACGCTGACTTGTTACAAAATGAATTACACTAGTTTTACTTAGATTTAACCCTTTCAACACTATAGCCCGCTATACCGGTCTGCGGCTTTCACTCCGTCAATCCTGCAGACCGGTATCGGCATATACCAGACCGGCTCTGGCATACGGCAACTTTCTGTTACATTCTGAAAAAATTACGCTGCAAACTGGGCCGATGTGTTGTTTTCGAGGGTACGTAATGGGAAAATATTTAACAAGCGCAGATGGAGTTTCACTACCTACGCTGCTATTCACAACATTGCCGCTAACCGTTAGCAGCCAAAATCCTGCCGAGGACTCTGGCATGTGGGCATATATCCCTGGTAATTATCAAGTTTACCTTTACCTTTTCACACCTGTATTTCACCTGTATGTATAAGACAAGAGCAAACTTCCATATACATTTAACTTGTCTACTTTTGATTGATACCAGATATGTAATGATGTGAAGTCTACTCAAGAATTTATGAGTGATTAATCAAAACCATATCTGAGCATGAATGTCAAGCCAAAGTTGCTTAGTGTTGAAAGAGTTAAGGGCATAATGCACCTAAATTATCTAACACATTCGCCAGCACGTTGCTCCGTGAATTCTTTGTACAAGTCGGCATTTCTGTTGGCGAGATGCTTCGGGAAGGTGGACGTGTTGGCTCCCTCAGTCTGCGTAGCGTTAAAGCATCGTTGGCAGACTGGCCGGCTTCGAGGTGTCTGCAGGCTTTCCCTCACAGTTGGCTACGTAAGCGAAATAATTCCATATTTTTTGCTTCATGCGTCTACCTTATCCACAAGCTGCGGACGGTCGGCGTCGGTGCTTGGATTCGCAGCCATGTCTCGGGGCCATGAAAGCTGCTGGAGAGAAAGAATCAGCTGGCACGCCCACTATATACCTGCAGGGAGTGGAAGCAGAACGCTGCACAGACACACTGTCCCACTGTGGTACGTCCACGTTAATCATCGGAAATGCTGCTCTTTGCAAAACGCTGCTGTTCAATTCAATTCAAAAGTATCGGCGCTAATAAAATAGAGTTTAGTATCATATTTAAGAGAATGCTGTGCAACGCTGTGCTGTACGGCACGAGGCTTAACAAGCAGAGGCAGAGTACTTCTTTCTTATTTGTGGGCTGTATTGTTTTGCCTCTTGAGGCTTTTTAAAATTATTCAAGTGAAACTAGAAATAAAAAGCAAAAACTACTCCAAACTTATACACATGCACCCTGTGAAAGGACCCAAGTAGACATTGTTTTATATTGAAGGGTCACAAAGCCAAAAAAAAAAAAAGAATTGGGAAAAGAGTTGCTAAATAACTGTCTGAAATGTGGTGCACTTGGCATGAAAGTGTCAAAAATAAAGTTGATTAAAAGACAAACTAAGAACTTATTTTTTCGTTCTGAAACAAAACTGTACAATCCCATAATCCCAGAGAACTTTGAAGAAGGGGAGACTGATTTTCCAAAATGGCTACGAGTTTAAAACAACAATGGAGTGTGAAGCTGGTTGCAGTTAGAGCCGAAGTCATATTCTTTACAGATGGTGCCAGAGGCACAGCTAGCTCTGGGTCTAAGGGTTTTTCCTCAAAGATTTGAGCTGTGAAAGAATGTACAATGGGCTGAGAGCACGTTGTTGTAATTGGCTCACAACAGAACAGTCTGCTGCTCCCGAGATGTCAGGCTAACTTCAAATGGGTGTTGCCTTAGCTTTGATTCGGCCCATCATCGTGGCTCAAATCTTATACGCAGAAAACAGTTGTAGAGTGTTGAGCTATAAACCCTGGCACAGCACCCAACGGGAATTTCTGTCTCATGCATTTCCAAATGAATGGTTGGCAGGATAATGCAGCATGCATCCGGTGGAAACAGTATGGCACAACACCGCCTGTGTGTGTGTGTGTGTGTGCCAGACTCCTGCTTGTGTGTTTTCCTGTAGGCTATGCATGTGCATGCATCTGTGCTATATCTCTATGTGCATTAAAGCGTACATTCTCCTTCCCCTCAGCTGTCAGAGTGCCAGGCAGCATTCAACACCTGGATCAGCAGGTCTCCCCCTCATGCACATCTACTCTTACACACTCCACTGATCTCCATCTCCCCGCAGAGGGAGAGGCTACGCAGCTGCTAACTTTCCCAAGACTGCACATACGGTCTCATACAGTACGGAGCTACTGTAACCGAGCCCCGACAGTGTTTCAGCACGTCCAACAGTCCAGTGATTCCGTGCTTGAGAGTCTAGAGTTGCATTGTATCCGCCTTGTATTGTTTTACTTTACTTTTCATGTTGTATAATGCACAGTGACAGTGTCGACTTTATTCTTGAGGATTACGTTTCTCTGCGTAGGTTGTTGACAGATGCTTGATGTCCTGTTGCTTGCTGGGTCAGTAACACCCCCCAGAGGGCTGGCTTTGTTAATTGTGCCAGATTACCAGCACAATTAAAATGCGCTGCATGGAAAATGGGGGAATTATCATCGAGGTATTTGTATTCTCTTCCACAAGCCTTTGTTGGATAATGTATTCCTGATGTTGGCGTTACAATACACTTTCCTGCACTTCATTCCAAGTGTGGCCACAGAATCCAGCAAGGTGTGTGTTTTCAGATTAGCCTCAAGGTCCCTTAGAGACTCAGGCATAAATAATCATAACATCGTTGTATTTTTACTTGTTTCTTAGGAAGTTTGGTTTCGTTTAACCTGAGCGGGGAAGTCATGACAATCACCAGGACTTCCACAACAACTTCTCAGGTGGCCTATTACAATTCTGTAATCTTGTTGGCAGCCAATCAAAAGGCAAAAGCGTTCTGCCCACAACCCTCTGGTATGTACCCCGTGGGTCAGTTTTCGGTGGTCCCCTACCACGATACGGTTGTCATGAAAAATAGACACATGCAAAACAATCGGTCCCTTGGTGCAAAAAAAAGAAAAAAAAAAAACTGGCAAGCCCACTGCATAGTTGTGGAAGGATGGGCATTACCCAGCTTTTACATCACTCTGCCCTGTTTCCTGAATGCTCGGTGGTGAGTTAATCGTGAATGCCAGGTGCCTCGGTTTGTTGAGGACCAAGTGCACGGCTGAGAAATCAAATATTTCCTGGAGAAGCCCCGTGAGAGGCCACAGCCGAGGAGTACATTATTTTTCCGTTTTGTGCTGAGTCTTAAACAGAAAATCTTTCCCAATAAGTCTCGAGTACTCATAAATCGTTAAGTTTAATGAACGTGTTCATCATCCGGCAGCTGAATCTCCCCGAGAAACCCCAGCGCTCTGATGTGGTTTCTCACCAACAAAGACGGGAGCAGATCTTCAGGAGTTTCACGGCACCGAGGGCGAGGAGAAGCCGGAGAAGTCTTACAGCTTGCAGATTAAAAGTAATACAGCAATATCAGGACTGAAGGGATACTCTGATTGAACTGAAACTTACATCAACGATTCTCTCTAAACAAAGAGGTTCTCCACTATTTCGTTTAAAATTCTCCTTCAAAGGACGTCGAGATGGCCTTTGAAGTGGATTATTAAGAGGCAGTCTACAAGTGTAATGTGGATCTGAGGGGGTAAAATCAGTATATAAGGTTACAATATTTCAGAAGGGGGAGGTAATATAGTTTAGACGGACAAGTTTGGTTTTATTACCTTAATTATGAAAGTTTTCTCCAGCTTCTCAGAGCAGACGGCTGAGACGACTCGCGCCGAAGCTCGGCCGCAGCAGAGTTTCGCACCGAGTACACATTCTCGACAAGTAACACATTTCTGTTTTAAGCTCGCGCTCATACTGAAAGGTATGTTCATTAGAGAGCATAAGGTCTGCACCAGCATATCAAGCGAGGCCCTAAAAATAGCCTCTTTGCCATCCTCCAGCCCTTTGAGGATCAGAGTCAAGCGAGGCAGCTGAACAGTGCCGGAGTAAAGCCTCAGTCCGCGGACAGATGTTTCTGAGAACAGGTGGCTGGGGTTGTCCCCTGGATTTGCATGGCTATGACAGACACAGCAGACCTCACAGACTTCAAAGGGTAGGAGCATGACTGCTAATGATCTGTGGAGAGAGGGAAGAGGAGTGGCTAGCTAGCCAGCTAGCTTCACAGGCGCCATGCAGACAAGGACTTACAGTATGAAGTCCAGGGGAAACTTTTTTCCTGCTACCGAATTCTTCCCGTAATGAGGTCATGCTTTTACTACTGTTGAGGGGTCACTCGATACTTAAAGCTGCATCATCGAACGTCGCTGTCAGCTGTCCCTGCAAACAGCTTGATCCGATGTAAACTGATACAGATTTAAAAAAAAAAAATATTAGGACGATTACAGCACACAGGCGAGGATCATGTACGGTTACAGAAGTCAACATAACTTTAGCTGTTATAATGTTTAACGATAAGACTGTGATGAAGGTGGATAATCGCAATTATTCACTCCCTTTAAGAAAATGTTTTGAAGCAGTGGCTCGTGAAAAAAAACCCTCCACATAAAACAACAGCATTAATTGAAGCTAAATGATGTTAAACGTGTGCGGAAGCAACATTTCTTTAAACACCATTAAAAACATTCTCCCGGAGTTGGAAACCGAGCATGAACTCTTCAAAATCGCAGTTGATGAGATTTCGTCTTGCAAGGCAGCAATTAAGTCAGACAAGCCAAATCTCTGCATCTACCCCCTCCTTCCCCGTCATCTGTCATATTTCCAGCTTTGATCTCCTCTAACCCCATTCATTAAGCAAATACAACACACTGCCACTTAAAGTTCGCAATGGAGCCCTTAACATCTAATAAATAATGCATTCACCCCCAGATCAAAACATGAGATGAGTACCAGGCAAGGGGGGAAAAAAAAGGGGCGAACACACGGTTGGCGCAGAGGGAGCTAAATGTATGCTGAATGGAATAGGAAACACGGTAGTACACAAATGAAGTAAAAAAAAAAAAAGTCTCAGCAGTCTAGCATTTGATTAATAGGAATGATTATGGATGCAGTTGTTTCCACCTATCAATCTGAGGCACAGGGTGGTGAGGGTGAAATGTAATACTGGATAGCAACATTAACATGCATTTTAAGTAGTAAGCTGTCCTGAGTGAGAAGAATGAAGAATGGATGAATGCAATTCCTTGAATGAGACGCCGCGCAACACTGAAGCGTCATCCATCACGGCACTGATATGCATTAGGAGTGATGTATTTCAAAATTTACTGAAATTATGAAACTGAAATTATCATCTGCTAATATGCATGAAAATTTAAAGTTCAGCTGAGGCTGATGACAGGGTGGCTTTGCTTTGTTTAGTCACAGAAACGGTACTGGACGAATGAAACCTTTGACCAGATAACAGCATTAGATGAAGAGTCATCAGTAACTTTTGGTCAATGGATCCAACAGTTGCTTAGAAAGTTTGCTTAGACACAAAAACATCAGCCTGAGCATTGTGCTGCAGACGGAGGTCACCGAAACCAGTAGTATCCATTCTGTAGGGGCCCGTAGAAGTCAATAATGTAGTAACAGTTGATAACGTAGTAAATTTGCACTTTTTAAAGTGTAGTAGGCCAATAACCCAATGAAAGTCCTGAACCGGTAACGGAATATCTTTTGGCCAACAACATAACAAGTTATGTTAATGGCCTGGTAAAAAAAAATCTTTACAAATGTAATAACCAGCCAACAACGTAATAAGTTAGTATGTTATTGGCCAAGAGTTATTATGTTACTGGCCTATTGCATTTCAAAAATGTCAAACGTATTACATTATTGGCCAGTTATTATGTTATCAGCCAGTTGTTACTTTATTGGTCTATTATATTTTTAAAATGGCAAATTCATTATGCTATCGGCCAGTTATTACGTTATTAGCCTATTACAGTTTAAAAATGGCAAATTTATTACGTTATCGGCCGCGATTACGGTATTGGCGATTCTTATGTTATTGACCAGTTATTACTTTATTGGCAAATTTATTATGCTATCGGCCACTATTATGTTTTTGGCCAGTTATTACGCTATTGGTTTATTACATTTTAAAAGTGGCAAATTTATTACATTATCAGCCAGTTGTTACTTTATTGGCCTGTTGCACTTTAAAAATGGCAAATGTATGACGTTATTGTCCGCTATTACGTTATTGGTCAGTATTACGTTATCAGCCAGTTATTACGTCATTAGCCTATTACATTTTAAAAATGGCAGATTTATTACGTTATTGGCCGTTGTTATGTTATCGGCCGTTATCAAGTTATTGGTCTATTACATTTTAAAAGTGGCAGATTTATTATGTCATCGGCTTCTACGGGGCCCAAAAATGTCTCCACAAAATGTCCTGACAAAACCCTCCAGTGCTTGTAGCTAAAAGACTCCATGTTTAGTTGAGGATTTTTTTTTTCTCTTTCTATCCTATTAATCATCCGTAAAAGTAGCACTTTAAAATGAATCCCTTACTACCGGCCTTTCTGCGGTTTCCTATTAATACAATAATGTATGCCATCTTTTCAAACTGCACATGGGAACAAACCCTGCACGGTAATCTATTGTGACAGGCCAGCTTTCTCCCGTGTGTGTGAATAGACAAATAGTGTCCTCCTATTTCAGTTCCGGGGGCCTTACTTCGGTAAAGTGACCTGAGTCAGCAGGGGGGCTTTGGCTACATCTTGACTTTATTACTCCCCACCCTTAAATCCCCACAGTGACCTCCTTCTCTTCTGTTCCATGTTCAAATAAACATCCAGAAAAAACTATTATTCCTCCCTCTGTCCACTAATGTTTTTTTGGGTTCCCTCCTCCTCATCTTTCTTTCTGTTTGTTTTGCCTTCCTTCATCCTCTGATAGGAGACACGCCACGACCTGACGGCGAGCCACGCCGCGACCTTTGCCGCCCCGAGCCGCCGCCGCCACGCACACACTCAGAGGCACCGCCGTGGACGGGCTTGGCAGCGGGGTTAAGGAGATGTGTTGACTTTGAGTCTGCTGGGATGTGACTTTGCTGCTGCTGTATATTCATGATCTCCTTCAAGGCAGACAGTCATCTTAGCCCTTGAAGGGCGGTTTTATGAAGGGATTCTGTTCATGCTGCTCCCTAAAAGTATGAATCCTGGGTTTATTTCTTGTTCACATGAAATAAAGAATAACTTTCCAAAGAGCAGGAAATGGTTCTATCACATTGCCATACACACTGAGATCTATAGTAACACCTCAGCGTGATTTCAATCTCAGGCCTGCACCCTGCTGCGTCAAGAACGCCAACACAAAATCTGCCCCTCTACATGCCTGTATATGTTACACTATCTGCACCGCCCCACCGCTCACACATGACCTGTTGGAGATTAGCGGTGGTCCCACGGTGGCCTTCATAATGTGGGCCTTTGTAAATGGTCACAGTTTTAGTCCCATCTTAGTCCCAGCTCCTTTTCCTCCTGTGTGTTTTCCATAATTGGAATATTGTCTCTAGGCTTTCAGTTAAAAAAGAGCCCTTCGAGGTAATCTCCACCATCTTGGCGAAATGCAAACACAGTCTCCAGAGGAGCCGCCAACCCAGAGAAGTTTTTCCCCTTTAATAACATCTTTTATTAAAGCAGGGTGAAAACAATTAGGGGTGTGTGAGTTCTGCGTCTTTAATACAGGCTTTATTGAATAAGCGTCCTCCCGTCCACTGAGAGAGGGCCTCTGAATGTGACACAAGTGGTATTGCCTAATGTTTAAATGGGGGGGGATGCCTGAAGGGATTGGAGGAGTAATTCAATTAGATGTAATATGCACCAAACCTCCCCCAAAATTGCTGTCTAATTCCTTCTTTACTGAGGGGAAGAATAGCAAATGCTCCTGAGGTCTCTCCTGAAACTGTGCAACTGGCAGAAAAATGGATCCACAACGACAAAATACTTGAAAGATTAGTAAAGGGATTATCATGTGGGAGATTATCTGATTTACGGAATGAAAACTTCTTTATTTTTTGCATGTGAATTTGTGTAAGGGAATCCCACGGACTGAAAGGAGAGCAAGAGGAGATAGTGTTTCCTTTGTGGGCTTTCAAACACAAACTGCTGCAGTTTAACAAGTCGATCAACAGTTGAGCTGCACACCAAGAAGGACGCAGTCATGTGTTGTAGGCCTGGGTGACAAAGGGATAGCAATGAGATCCTAGAAATAAGATGGATATTTGAAAGAAAGTTCTACAGTTTCACTTAAATAAATTTAAATGTGGGCTGCAAGATGGCTCGGTGGTTAGCACCGTTGCCTCGCAGCAAGAAGGTCGCTGGTTTGTATCCTGGTGAGGACACCCGGGATCTTTCTGCGTGGAGTTTGCATGTTCTCTCCGGGTTCTCCGGGTTCTCTCCGGGTTCTCCGGCTTCCTCCCACAGTCCAAAAACATCCATCCATCCATTATCTATACACCGCTTAATCCTCTGTAGGGTCACTGGGGGGCTGGAGTCTATCCCAGCTGACTCAGGGTGAAGGCAGGGGACACCCTGGACAGGTCACCAGTCCATCACAGGACTACACTTAGAGACAGACAACCAAGCACACTCACATTCACACCTACGGACAATTTAGAATCACCAATTAACCTCAACATGTTTTTGGACTGTGTGGGAGGAAGCCAGAGAACCCGGAGAGAACCCACGCTGCACGGGGAGAACATGTAAACTCCACGCAGAAAGATTGCGGTGCCCCCACCGGGACGCGAACCGGCGACCTTCTTGCTGCAGCCCGTCCAAAAACATGTTGAGGTTAATTGGTGATTCTAAATTGTCCGTAGGTGTGAATGTGAGTGTGCTTGGTTGTCTGTCTCTAAGTGTAGCCCTGTGATAGACTGGTGACCTGTCCATGTGTCCCCTGCCTTCAACCTGAGTCAGCTGGGATAGACTCCAGCGCCCCACGAACCAAATGAGGATTAAGCGGTGTGCAGTTTGCATGAACATACCCCAAGCTCGTGCTATCTCTGGCTCATAAACAGCCCATAATACCCCTTGATAATCCGTCACCCGTCGTCACTCTCCCTGTGACTTCCATGAAGGTCTTCCAAGGCGTGCTAGTCTGCAGCCTCTCATTTCACACTGTCTTCAGGTTCAAGGTGATGCCCTTGCAAGACAGACATCAGGGTCTATAAACATCAACCTCCACTGCCTCCTCCTTTGGCCTGTTCTTCTTTGGGCTGACAGACTTGATGCTGGGATGCTCGTTGCTGCCGGTGCAGGAAGTCCATCTGCTAGTCCAGGTCGGCCTCAGAGCCCTGACCTCAGCACGATGCAGCAGCGTCGCCCTTTGTCGCCTCCAACTCTGGGTTTCACTTGCTTTTTTCTGTCTTCTGTTTAAATGTTTGAATCAACATGAGATCCTTTGTCATTTTTTTATTTGTTTGAATAAATGTAGGTGTTTTTTTTTTGTTTTTTTTTTATCAGTGTGTTACCATTAAAGCTATTATCAACATATACTAATAAAAAGGCTGCAGTGGTTAAACTACATTCAAATTAAACCCTTCTTCTTCTTCTGTTCTTTTTTAAAAAATTGGTCATTAAAGATGTTTAATGTGTCAACGTCGACTGAAATACAGTCAGTAATAATTCAGTAATATCACCAAACCCTGATGCATTGTGTGACTTTTTCACATTAAGGTAATATTTGCTTTGTTTGAAAAAGAAGAAGAAGAAAGAAGAGGAAGAAAAGAAATGCTACAGTAAGTTTAGGAGATATTTTCTCAGTCACATCCTTCTGAAAACCGGCTGAATTAACTGGCAGTAAGAAACAACACCAGCCTGAGGAATGAAATCACTTTAAATGTTTTCCCTCTGATTACTGCTGTTATATTGTTCATTGCAATCAAAGGTGTTCAGTTTCAAAAACAATTAAACTTTGTTTGTTGTTTTTCATTCACCTCCTTCCTGCGTGTGGCACTGATGTGTTCTCTCTTGGCGGCTTCTCTCTGCGTTCGCTCTCTTTAGCTGCACCATTTCACCACAGGGTGCAGCTGCACCGAGACATCAAAAGCGTCTCTATCTGCTTATGAAAATCCCAAGACCACAGACTCACAGCCAAAGAGAAGTTCATCCACTCTTACTCGAAGTAGCTCCACCACAGGGATGCACTACAGTAGCAGCTTCATGCCGTATGAGGCTGCTGCAGTCGCTCGGCTGGCTTTTAAGAAGGACTTTGTGAGACTGATAAGATATTCTGTTTGTTTTGCTTCAAGGGATTTAAAACTTCTTGAATTATTTTAAGATCAATGTAATCCCACTAAACTCAAGAAAAAACATATTTGGTGCCTTTTTAGATTAACATGTTGTACGTATGAAGATAAAAATCACGAGCTGTTGCCACATGCAATTTATTTACCGTTTACTTTTCTCCATAATCCAGCAAAGCTGAGCAGAAAAACAAATGCAGTTTGGACTTTTTTTTTTTTTTCTTTCTATCAACTGATTCATTTGCATTCTGCAAGCTCATACATTTCACAAACTCAATTCCATCTTCACTTTACACCAGACTGGAATGTTTTTCCAGGCACTGTGCGATTTGAATAACTATTGACACACTAAAAATATCTACTTTTCGCACTGAAGCCAAATGCGGGGTTTTTAAATGCATGAAGAATAGATGGGAACAATAGGAGAAAGAGGGAGAAAGGATTTGCATGCAAAGAAATCTCCATGGACAACACTATACCCTGGGTTATGGTTACTGACTGTGAGGTACTTGGACTTTGCAAAACTATGTTATTGAGGGAATATAGCACTGAATAATACACATTAACTGATGGTGTTAGCTAAAGCTGAAAGGCGTAATTTGCACGTCAACGTGAGCTACATATCCCACCTCGCATGACATATCGACAAGGAATCCATTTGTTTTCGCAGACATAAGAAAGAGCTGTGATAGCATCAAACACTGCGAATGTGAAATGTTGTGAAAATACAATAATGAAGGACATCCCTTTGACATTGCGGCAGAGCTGAGGTAAGGCCAACGACTGCATCTCTTTAGTGCGGCGTGCAGCTCGTTGCCGAGCGTGAGCACACAACGGAGAACGAAATGGATAGTTTTGAAGTGCGCGGCCGATCGCAGCACATCTGAGCACGTTGGACGTTATCAAATTTGTCAAACCTTGAGATGATTAGGACTCGTCAAACTCAAACGGACAGACAGATGGTTGTGTGAAGCAGCCTGTGAAATCCAAGCCCTATTTAAAAGCAGGCTGGTTTCGAGCGAGTGGGAATAAATATGTAAACCCGACCTGCTCTGTAAAGCGAACATGCCTCCTCTCATTGCCAGTCCTGCACCGTCCCGCGTGTCATGCTTTCGGGGTCCATTAGTTATAATGAAGTGTAAGAATAACCTTCAATACACCTTTTTTGGAAGGCTACAGAGGTACCGGCCTGGAGAAAAGAAGAAAAAAAAAAGTCCTGCCGGTGGAAATCAGTTCAGGATGGAGAACGAGAGAAAGAGAGAGAGACCCTCGTTTGTCTCTGTTTTGAATCAAAGGCTTACGGAAATATGTCTCGATGGAAGTAAACTGTTCTCAATGGGAAACATGTGACCTCCGAAGTGGCAAGGTGCTCTCCCGGCTCCCCTCTCCGCTCGCGAAAGGTGCGACGCGAAGCGCCGCGAGAACCTGCGGGGCGCTTCCTTTTGTTTGCATTACAAATGGCTCGGCGCAGGGTGAGAGGTCAAAGCGATAATCACATGTATAAACACCACCTCTCCTCCCGAGCGCTGTTTCGCGGAGCCTCCTGCTTGACCCCGCCGGTTCTGGCAGGTAAATGTTTGCAATGCATCAACACACAGGAGGAGGAGGAGGAGGAGGGGATGCACGAGGAGGGCCGTGCACAGCGCGCCGCTTAATGGGTCCGGTCTTTCAAACAAAGAGAAGCCGAGAGGGGAAAAAAAAAAATAATGGTACATGCCGGATTCTCACAGACCCACATGTGTGAACAGGCGCTTCCAAGACACACACACACACATATACAGCTCTCTAATTAATAGCTCCTCTGCCTCCTGAGTCTGTGAGGCAAGTCCACCCTAATCCCTTGGCACTTAGTTCAGAGTAATCAGCGCACAGCAAAGTCTGCCTTTGGAACACTAATTAGCATCATTGATTTTCTCCTCAGACTCTGACATGCAAACAGCCTAAAAACAAGTCACT